AGCCTCTACTCACTCACTCTTCTAGGGTCTTTCAATTCAGTGGTATTCTAAAACATTCCTGAGTCATTTTCTACAGTTTCTCCCCTAGCCAGTGTCTGCCTGTAGCTCCAGCCTTCCTGTCTCCATAGCCAGCAGCTGTCCCTTCAGAGTTCTCTCCAGACATTATCTTCATCATGGAATGAGGTCACCAAGTCTTGCTGAGTCAGGCTGGGACAGACTCCAAGTATAGTTTTAGGATGCAGGGCCTTCGCTGCCTCATTGTGGGGGCGAACATTTGAGCCACATTTTCTTCATGGAAAGCTTTAAAAATTCATCCCTCTACCTCCAAGATCCTGAAATAGTTCCTTCTAAGTACAACTTACAGCCATTAGGCCAACCCACCTTATACCATCTGGAACAAGTGAGCCATTTACTCCAGTGCTTGAAAGTCCCTACAATGTCCTGACTGGTGGCCATTCTTCTTGAGCTGGACCATGTTTAGAAGTCTACATTATTAGACAACTGTCCATGTTGGCATTTTCCCTTTCAGCTCTTCTCTTTAATCAGAGACCACAAGAGCAAAATAAAGGTTGAGTGAGTTCCTTATGTTAAAGGTCTGAGCATCCAAGGGCAGCTTCTATTGCATGGTCTGAATATGTGACTTTTGATTATCTGTACAGCAGATATTGAGAAGCCATGAACTCCCAGTCATTGCAGAGGCACCACTTAATTCATGGTCATGGTCAGGGGCTATGGCATGAAACTATGCAGAAGGATTCAGAGATTATAGCCATTGCACAGTCTGGTCCCTCCTGCTCCGAGACAGGACCAGGCTGCTTTTTTTATTTCCTGGATGTTGAGTCCCTTACCTATGTAATGTCACTCTGAGCCTTCTACCTGCAGAATGTGGGAATGGGTGGTCTGCTGTAATAAGGGAAGAAGGTGCAGGCACAGCAGGGCTTTTCTTTCCAGTGGTGGGCAGAGCCACTTTAAGATGACTTGAGGTATGCAGGACCCTCACCTTTGCTGCAGAAAAAAAAATGTTGTGGAGCAACAAACACCAAAGAGAAAATTACCACTTTAGAACTCCATCTAACTTCCCCCTTCATTTGCTGTTTCCCCTTTCCCTAACAACCTTCTCTATCCTGGTCCCATAGAACCCCACAGTACTTCAGATACTCCCTGAAGTCAAACATTGTCTTGGCCTCCAGGGAATTTAAGTTCACATAGGCGAGAAGAACAAGCATTTATAATCTTGTGTCACTATGGCCATCTAAACAGAAGAGTCTGGAAAAGACATTGCATAGAAGAGAGGAAGGCTTGCTCTCAATGAGTTCTCCAGTAGGATAGCCTTGGGTCAGTCACCATACAGACTGACCAAGAGCCAAGCTTTCTTCTCCCCTTGTCTCATGTTTACAGCAAGCTGCTTTCTTCTAGCTCAATGGGACAGTGGTGTGATCGTATAGATTAGTATAGATAGTACAGTGATGTGATTAGTATAAGAACTTTCTTGAAACTAAGAGCTTTCTCTACCTACCCTGTATTTGCCATGCTCCAAAGTGGAACTCTTAGTTTCCCCCATTCCTATTAAAAAGTCATAGCTGTATTTTCTGAGTCATTGTGTCTACCCTTAATTCGAAAATGGTGGACCATTGAACCTTCTGAATGCTGACTGGGACATAGCTTTTCCTTAGGAATATAAACCATGGTGATGAACTCTCATGTGTCTCCAGAGACAGTGGAGGTAGCTGGGTGCCAAGTGTGGCACTCTATTTAGTTTGTCTACATAGGTTGAGAATAACAACACAGAGGAAAGCTTGGCAGCTGGAGGACTGGTGAGGTCATTGAGTGCCAGCTTCTAAAGGGGACATCATAACAGAGGAGCCTTATCTGTAAGTAGGACTAGACAATAAAGAACCAGAAATTGATCTCAGCCCAATATTAAGTATAATATACTTAGGCTACAGTTGTGAGCCAACAATGTTAACTTTCATAGCTGTTCCCTAGGAATCTATCACTTTAGCCTCAAGGATAAAAGAAACATAAAACCTGACCCAGAGATTAAGAAAAGAGAGTTGAGATCCTCTGTGCAGCCTTCTTAGCTCTCTTTCCTGCTGATGGTCTCTACTCAGCAGCCATCATTACGGATAGTAAATGGGCTTTGAACCTTTAAACTCAATACCAGAGGCCGATATGAGCTCTAGATATACTCCAGCCATCCTCTAGACATCTCTAAGCTTGGACTTTCTTCAAATTTGACATGTCCTAGACTAAAAAATCAGTCTCACTTTATTTATACCCTTCCCAAACCTGTCCATCTTCCAAAGTTTGGAATTTTTATGTCTTCAGTGATCTATGCTCTCTTTCTTAAATGTTTTACTGAAAGAACATTTCAGGCAACTCTGGTAGAATGTTTTCCATGCAAGGAATGTGGAGTGCAGCAGAGGACTGGTTTCAGAACCCAAATTCATTAAGGTTCACATTAATGGCCATTTCCTGGATGAAAAAACCCCATCATCCTTTCCAGATATCAGGACTCCCTCCTTTTGTTCCCATACAACATAATGTGAAACTCTTTTATTCTTTCTTCACTCCACCCATTCAAATCCAAGCCCCCAATACCTTTGCTGTTCTGAAACAGTCCCACTTTTGAAAGCATTTGCCCATTTCACTTGCAGTAGAAACAATTCTTCCATCCTGATCTCAACTGACTAGTGTTTTCTTGTGGCTTTCTCACCTGATGCTCATTGATCACTGGTTCTGTGTCTTTGTAGATGCCACATCCTTCCTCAGTTGCTATATGTGTGCTGGAACCCTTACGGAGTATCCATATGTGTACCTACCCCAGTGTGAAGAGAAAGGGCTTCTCACATAGGATGACGTTAGAGTCAAACACACATGCTGTGATTTGAGAGTCTGCTCTTACAGCACCAGTGACTGTCAGCAAGCTATTTAATTAGGTGTGAGCCCCAGCCTTCTCATTTGTAGATGGTAGACCATGTTTACCCAGGAAGGTTCACAATGCTCTCTCTACCTCCTTGAGTTTGCCATGCCTTCAGCTTCAGTGTCTCACCCTCCCTTTGCTGAGAATACTCTCATTCTTCCAGTCTCAGCTTAGATGCTGTGCTCCTTAGAAAGCCCGCAGGCCTCTGGTCAAGTTAGTTTTCTCCTCTGTGTTCTCATTTATTACATTTCTCTGCCTGTATCTCAGCACCAGACTCTGAACTGTCTGGTTTGTGCCCTTTCTCTCCACTTCGAGAAACTGCAAACTCCATAAAAATGGGGACTGTGATTTGCAAAACATCAAAACCTATCTTTGCTCTTCCCCATTCCTTTTAATCCAAAGATTTTTTTTTTTTGAGCAAGCCATATTAGGTAAGGAATTCATGACTGAAATGCTGAAGAAAATGCACAAATTTTACTCAGTACTTATTAGCTGGCATTGCAGGAGCTCAGCTCACCAAATTGCTGGCTCCATCCTACTACTGTGTTAGGCTCCAGGCAATGATCTGCTTTAGGTATAGAAATTAAATAAATTAAATTAAATAATGTGTCCTCTGAATTGTTGCTAATGCCCAGTGCTTTCCATTTTCATTAGATTCACAACTAGTTTGTATCTATGAAACTACCCAAATCTCTGAGAGAAATTTTCTTAGGGGATTTTCAAAAGCTATATAATCACCACAATTTGTCTGGTATATGTAGTGGTAAATATTTTATTAAAAATCAGGCACATGCTAATTATTTATAACAACCTAGGCACTTTATTTAGAATAACAACAATGATCACTTGCAGGTATAGACTTGTAGTTACTTTAAATGTTGTCACGACCTGAGATGTAGCGGAGGAAGCTCCGGGCTAGAAGGCCAATGGTCCAACTTCCTGATTGGCACTACCTTTGCTATCTTGGCCCAGTAATTTCATTCTTTTCTGCCTCAGTTCCTCAGTGTAAAAGATGCAACTGGAATGTTTGCTTTATAGGATTACTGTATGAGTTAAATGAGATATTATCAGTAAGAATTAATAGCAATGCTTAGCACATTTATATACTCTATAAATGTCAGCTGTTATTATTTGTCAAAGGTAAATTAAATATAAGAAAAGTGTTTGAATAATATTGGATTTAAATTTTCTGTCATCGGAGAGAGGCTCTATGTCCTTATGTTACTCTGATCCTTCAGCATTCCTATTCAGTAGGGAGGGGGCAGCATTATCCACATTTTACAAACAGTGGAATTGAGCCACAGAAAAGCAAAATATGTAGTGCATGAGTCACAGTCAAAAACTAAGACTGAATTTGTAGAGGTAAGTTCCAACACCCTTTCCAGGTGGCTGAGTGATGAGGCAGTTAAAGTGAGTGTAACCAGCTCTTAAAAGTCTGTGAGCAGAGGCCTCCTTAGCCTCTTTTATTGCTGAGTTTCTCCATGGTCAGTCCTGTCTCCATGTCTGAAATAATATCGGATTATGTCTTCCTGCCTGCTTTTCTTATTATCTTTCCAAAAAGCCACATGATGGGGTTGAATAGAGTATTGGTTTCTTTCATCTTTCCCTGCCTCTTTAGGAAGGCACTCCCATTCTTGGGTTGTGCTCAGGATGTATACCCAGTCCTCACTTGGCTGTTGAGTTTTTGAATGGATTCATCATGGCTGTAAACCACTTAAGACTCTCACAACTGAACTTGTTCTGAAACATTTCGTCCTCAAAGGCACCCACCCATTACCATGCCATATTTTACTACTGCAATGACAGAAAAAGCATTTGCAGAAGGCTCTGGTTTTCCCTCTGTCTTCCTATCCGAGCTCAGCAGAGGGAAGTCTCATCAGGACTTGGGCTGTTTGGCTGTGTACAAAAGCAGCCTCCAATAGTTTGTGGGTGCAGGGAGATTCCTGTGCCTGAACTCAGGCTGTTCAAGAGGACCAAGGACACGTTGCTTTTCTGTCCACTAGGGGGCTACTTATAGAAGGCTGGGGGAAAAAAGCTTAAAAATATGCTGCTGAAATTTCAGTAAGAGGGGAAAAGAGAGAGCTTGCGAGAGACAGCAGAGCGGTCCCAGGCTTCCTGAACGCGTCAGAGGCAGGAACCGACTGTGCTAAGGCTGTTGGCTCAACACGCATAGACAGAGCCGGAGCAGCCTCAGAGACAGGGAAAGAAGAAAGGGTCCTCCCTGACCCAAGGATTTACCACTAGTGGAGTACAGCTATCTGACTTTTTGGTCTTATTTTGGGTGCCTCTTCTCTCCTTCTCCTGGTAGACCTACCAGCTGGGTTTTGTTTCTTTCGTGAAACCTTCTCTCTGCCTCTCAGAAAAAAAAAAAAAAAAAAGAGGAAGGGAAGAGAGGGAGAGAGGTGGGTGCTCTAGATGAGCGCATCAGCTGTCTCCAGCCCGAACAGACAAGAATTCTCTGCCTAGGAAGCTGCTCTCACTCTCCCGGCTACCCACCCCCCCAACCTGGGTAAGTCCAGAGCACTGCGCTCCTCCGTTTTCTGGCTAGCGAGATTTCAGCACCACGGAGAGCGATCAGATGCCGGTCTGTTCTTCAAGGCATTTGGCAGTAAGGTTACCTCTCTTTCAGCTGCCGGTAAAGCTGGGTTCTGCTTAGGGAAAAACGAGAAAGGCGCAAAACTGTCTCTGCCGAATTAGAGGGGGATGTGGACCTTGGCCTTGGGAGTGAGCCTGAGCAAATGTATTTGTGTGCACTGTTGCATAAGACAGGTGAGGTCGGAGCTGGCAGGCTTGTAATTGTGCTAGTCTCTGTGTGAGGCTGTCCTTTTTATATGTAGACAAGAGGGAGGGTTTGGGGAAATGAGTCGGGGAATCTTCCTTAATTAACTCTTTCATAACCATCCCTAGGTGGTGGGAAAGTGTTACAGAGCAAGCCTGGGAGATAGGAGTGAAGGTAGAGTTAAAAGTTGTGCAACTAGGAGGGAGAGGCGATATTTTAAAATGTCATTTCCCCCCAGGATTACCTGGGTTCTTGCTGTGGTGAGAGCCTAACCTGACCTTTTGCTTTCTTTCCCGGTGTGAATTCATGGTGGACAAGTGTAACAGGTTGGGGTAATTTGGGGCTGAGGTCCCTGATTTCATGCTTCTAGAAAAATACTCAGCTTGGCAGGGGCTTGGCTGATGTGGATTATACTGTATTTACAAGAAGGCAGGAAGTACCATCTACTTTTCTGTTATCCTTGGTTGGAAACGGGAAAAAAGTCTGTTCTCCCCTATTTTCTGGGGCATCTGTTAATGAAACACAGTCCAGAGGAAAGGTTTTTGTCTCCACTTGTCTAGAGCATCAGGAAAAAGCTCAGACTAGCTCAAAAGTGGGAGTTTCCCCCCCCCAATTCCCACCCAGGGGCTCCACAGATGGGAGCTGGCAATTACTACATTCTACTGCTCTCCCTCTCTCTCTTTTGCTCTCTCTCACTCTCTCAGTCTCTCGGCCTCTGTGTCTCCCATTCCTCTTTCTTTCCTTTTTCCTCCTCCATCTCTCTCTCTCTCTCTCTAAATATCTTCAAAAAGTTGCTTCTCCTGTCTTTCATTTTCCTTGGAGATGCTATCTGCCTGCTCCCATGTCCTCCAGTTCTCCCCAAACCTCCTGCATGAAACTAGTCAACAAGTGGCACTGGAGGTTTTCTTCAGTCACCAACATGTCCCAGGAGCAAGAGGGAGGTGAAGCTTCTTATAAGATAAAGACTCAGCTTAATTGACCTCTAACTCTTTGAGGTTCTGTTCACTGTTATCCATATTGAGGTGGGGGAGGGGCAGGTACTTAGAGGTATGCACAGACCTTCTTGCTCTGATGACTTTCTGTTTTGCTTTTAATTCAAAATCCTGGGCTTTCCTCCAAGATGAGTACAGTACTCTGCTTTGGATTGTGGGAGCCTTCTAAGTGGGAGATATAGTTCTGAGCAAAATGGTGCCTTTCCCCCCAGATCTAGAAACTTCAGTGTGTCTTTAGAATGAATGGCAGTGAGTAGAGATGGGGAAAACAGTGATGTCAGAGTTTGTAATGGTAGACAAAGGATTGAAACAGACAAATTTGAAGAATTAGGAACTAACACTGACTCATTTGTACTCCATCCTTGCTGTTCATATTCCCCCAATCTGTACCAGTAAGTGTATGGATTTCTGTATGGCATGTCCCAGGATACTTAAAAAGCAAACCCTTGCGCTGGAGTCTGTCTTAAAGCTGTCATTTGTTATGTCACCATTATTTTATTAATGCCCTTAAATTCTCTCTGAAAAAAAAAGTGGTCAGTGACATTATTGGATCCATTTTTTAAAAAGGAGAGGTAAGCATTGGGCCAGAGAGTGGCAAAAACAGAGACAGAACTTCTGATGTACTAACCTGTCAGTGCAGAAGTGCCTATGTATGGGAGAATGGGAAATTGCCATCCTACAGACACACATGTGCAAGCAAAGCTTGTTAGTGACTTCATTGTGAGATAGTGGGCTCTCCCTGGGGAAGAATGAGAATCAACCAGACATCCACCAGACATATCAAGGTGCTGCTGATGCCCAAAAACCACATGAAAAGCTCCCTGTAATGTTGGTGAAGAGAGTCCCCTGGGCTCATGGCCTCCAGAAAGAACTAAAGTCATATAGCTATGGTCATATTCCCTTTACCTCAGAATTTCAGGTAGAGGCCCTTTTCCAAGAGCTCATTGCCATTGATGTCTGGGTTTGAAATGTTTGTCCACTTTCCTGTCAGGCAATTAATGGGGCCATATTCATTGAGTCCTCTGTGGCTTGGGATGGAGGAAGATGACCAAGAATCAGGAAATGTTGGGCTTCTACCACCTAAAAGAATGGGAAATGGTACACAGACACTATATATACAAAGTCTCTACTTCCCCAGAAGCCCTTGCTCTCATACCTGCTAGGATTCTGAAGAGAAAACTGCTATATCCTCACACCTGTCTCTCCCTCACTGAACAGAAGAAATTCTTCTAGGTTACTTCTGAGGCCCAGAGAGGTAAGACATGCTAAGAAAAGATGGAGGGAAGGATAGACAGCAACCTGCCTTATTCCCCATCACTGTAAGTGACCACTCTTACCACAAATGGGTAACCATTACTGTTTAGAATTGAGATATAATTTGTATGTCACAAAATGGACAGAAGGTAACTATTTGAATTAGAAAGTTTTGACAACCTTGTGAAAAAAAAATGAATATTTGACCTCTACCCCAAATAAAACATACAAAAGTTTCTGCATGCTTTTTTTTCCAATCAGCCTTCTTCTTCTTCCACAACCCCTTTGACTGCTACCATTATAGGTCAAATGGCTGCCCTGTGCAATATAAAGATAATGCTGATTGCATTACATGATAGATGCATTATGTGGATCTTGAACTTTTATGTGAGCATCTCAGGTCCTAAGTCTGGTGATTCTAGATAGACGGCAGGGAAGGTGAGGGAGGGGCATGTTCTGCATCTCAGTTTGCTGTCCTGGTCATTTCAATTGTGTGTATGGAAGACAACAATTAAGTCCAAATAGTCTCCTCAGAAGACCCTGCCTTTGAGCTGATATAAGATTATTTGATGGCACAACTCATGAATATGATGTTGAAATAGTTATTAAAATATGGGATTAAGTTTCAGGCATCTGGCCGTGAGTCACCCAATCTGGTCTTCAAGAGTGAGCAGAAGAAAGCACACCCATGCATGTAAGCTTAGTAGAACTGGAGCAGAGAGAGCTGGTTTGCAGTCCTTATACCATGAAATCCAGCTCCACTCACAAGGACCTGGGGTGGAGTATGTGTGCTTATCTTCCTTATTTAAGAGTGGCTCTAAACCCAGAAACTATGTTGCCTTTATGTATCACCATAGTTCTACCCAGTGACACTCCATTCAACTTGCTTCCATCTTTGAGCTGCTTGTCCCAGTAATAAGTGCCGTTTCCAATCATCATTAAGAAAGAATGGAGTCATCAGGAGGTTTTTGGTGACTTAAATGAATTAAATATATTTGTTTGTACAGATGTGTGCGTTTGTATGTGTGGTATCACGACATCTTCCCACTTCCTTTCCATCATATCCTATCTAAGGAAAACTGGGTAGAGTTAAGGCATTTTACACAATTGAGACCGGGGTCTTCAACTAAGAAACACAATTTCTGCCACACCAATAATCGTTTGAGAGTCCTCAGAATTTGTCTGTGTGGATCACAGATCCATTTATAAGGTCAGTGGATAGCTGTATCTTCTGCCTCCCTCTATCTGGAGATTTTCCTATAGTGCTTTCTTTCCGCATCTTGTCCCTCTGAACTCACCTTCCTCAGAGGAAGCTCCAAGCCAGGTCTTCTACAGGAAGGGTCCTGGGTCATCTCTCTTAGATAATCTCCCACAATGGGGAATAAAAGTCGCTAAGCTGCATAGTCATGAGAAACTAAAAGATGGCCAAAAAGCAGATGACTCTCTAGCATCTAGGGAGAAGATTGTGCAAAATTTCAAAAGATGAATAATGTTCCCAAAGTGGGTGACTTGGCAGAAGTCATTGCTGCTTCATCTTGATCTTGATTTTCACTGATAAAGATGAGATCGGCCACCTAAGTAGCATTGCGTCTTCTTAAGAGCCGGGCAAGAGAGAGGGTGATAAAGTTTCAAATCTACTTCTAACCACATGAAGAACTCATTAAAGCTTTGTCTTGAATGTTATTTTTTACTAGAACCATATTGGTACATCTTCTTGGCCATAGGGTAATGTGTATATCACTTGGCATATCGTAAGAGTCATATTCTCTTTTCTTTGCTTCTTTTTATTCCCCCACTTGGTCTCTTTTTTTTTTTTTTTTTTTTTTTTTTGTATTTTGAGTATCTCTAGTTTAGTGGCATAAGGTGCTTTTCACTTACTGGGTAACCATAGTCAGCACCCCCATTCAAATTCTGATAATAACTCTCATCTATTCCTTCCCCAGCCTCTGCCAACCATCACTCTGAGAGTCTGATCTAGAAATAAATTACAGAAGGAGTCATCCAATTTTATCCTTTTGTATCTTATGCTTACAAATGATTTGATTTCTTACTAACGTGTGTATGGTGCGTGTGAGTGTGTGCACGCGCACACATTTCGTGGTACACATGTGGAGGTGAGAGAATAACTATCGGGAGTCGGTTTTCTCCTTCCATCTTGTTTCTGAGGTAGAATCTCTTTTTGCTTCTGTCATAAGTGCGTACTCCAGGATAGCTGGCCTGGGAGCTTCTGAGTGAGTCTCCGCTTCCCATCTTGCCATAGGGCTGGTGGGACTGTAGACGCACATCTCCCCATACAGCTTTCCTGTATGGGGTCCAGGAATCAAACTCAGGTCGTCAGGTGGAGTGCTCTCAGGCCATCTATGGAGACCACCGTTTATCTGTGCATGAACACTTAACTTAGGTTGTTTTGGCCAGTTGCCTCTGTCTAACTCTCCGGACAGTGTGCAGGGCAGCTCTCTGATCAAAGCCCTGAACTGAGTTAAA